CGACCCTCGTACTCGCAGCAATGCCCCCTTATGCACACTTGACCACTCCCCCGAGCCACGATGTTGCTTCCTCTTGAACAAACCAACCGTGCAATGTAGAAAGGCGGTGTTTGAATAGGGCGCACCCGCGATGCTCTCATTCAAAAGTTGTTGTGACGGCTGCGCATCATCCGCAGCAATAGCAAAACACCAGTACGCTTTATTTGATGGCGGTTGATTTCTGTGTTAGCTGCAGTTCGCAGCTCAGAAATAGCGGCAGCCGTAAGTTACACAGTGCCCCACCACAAACACAGGAGTAGGGCAACAAAAAAAACCCTGCTTACTCAACTGGATGCACAGCGAAGTACATGATCTGATGTATGTTGGCTATGATCATAGAGCCGAGTAGCACAATCTTGGTCATTCTGAAGTGAAATGGCGGCGTCGGACGCCAACAGTAATGTGGCCAGCGGTATACGCCGCTGTCGGTTGTATAGACCACCACTTAACGCCTGATGGATGTTGTTTACTCAATCCCAATATGGTTTGCTGTATCAGCCTATCCGACGAGCAATGAACTGTTCCTTCCTTCGAGGTAAATCATCTCGCTGCTCGAGCAACAAACACGTCTACTACGACGAGTATTGCACCCTCTGCGTTTTTTTTGACTCACCAACGAAACAAGACACTGTGCAGCACAACTCAACGTGCAGAATAACAACCACAACGGTAGCACCCATAGGCGTGGTAAACCACAGTCGACGCGCGGTAGGTGCTCAGCGGATGCACAACCGACCAGCAATCCGCAGTCCTGCGCAGTGACACAGAGTGCATCCGTTGGCTGGCCTGCCAACAAAACTAGTTATTATAACTCGACGTTTGGCTCCTCGTGCACGGCGTGTTCGTCCCTCGCTGCTGCCAAGGTAAGTTCTCGTTCGCCTCCCTCTTCCACATAGCTCCTTCACGCCGTTTTTTCGACTCCGATTTTTCCATCTTCAAAGTTGCCACCGCCATTCATTCTGCAATTTTATTTCTAGGTAGGTGTCTGCTCCCCTGTCACCCTCTGTCCTTCACGGATTCTGGAGGCATCCCCGGACATTCACGAGCGTGCTCCGGCCCAGAACTGATCACTCCCGCGAGCACTAGCGTGGTTCCAAATGTCTGTACAAGCCCCACGACGAGCACTCCAGCTGAGCGCACTGCTAGGAAGACTTCAATGATGTCGACATCTATGGAGAGCAGCATGACGACCTTGATCATAGTACAAAGAAAAGTGCGTTACGAGGGGGAGGACCTCCACGACTGTGATAGACGACCCTGCTCCTGTACTTACCAAATGTACAGAATGAGAATAAATCTCCCACTAAATAGTGGACAGATGCATCCAAACTTACAGAGTCGTTTGTCCCTTCCCCACGCGCAACTCTTGCGCCCTGTGCCTCCAACTTGCTACTCCATTGGGAAATCTGACATGGCCATCGGATTCGCAATGGTCTCGAACCTCCGTCTAGCCCCCTTTTGTTCTCGTTTTCAAAGTGAATCGAACGAGACTTCCGTCCTCTTGGCCAGCCATCCCACCATCCTCACGCACCCCCTTTTTCTACCAATTCCTAACTTACTAATCTTCTGCCTAATCCAACCACGGATTCGTGGTCGCCCGAGCCTGAAACCCCCGAGATGGTTCCTCCCCCACAGAAATCCGTCCACTAACGAGTAAACAACTTGAATGCCTTTTTCCTCTCCTTCCATTCCTCTTCCGCCATAGCTCCGGCGCACTGAGTTTTCTTCCTTACTCCTATTCTACTTACTCCCTCCCTAATCTGACTTCACAATCATGCTCGCCCCGGCCTAAAACCCCCGGAATGGATCTTGGTTCGTAAAAAACGGTCAAGAAATGACCGACTTAGCACATTTTCACCCTTCCTCTTCATTGCTCTCCGCCATCACTCCGCGCACTCCTTTTCTTAGTCGCGCCTAACCCACTAACTTTTAGCTAGAACTAACTTTAATTATGGACTCGCCCATCCCAAAAATCTCGAACCCAACTCTTACTCCGCCCGATTTCGTCAAGGATCGGGCTAGTAGTTCATTCTTTGTCATCACCTCACTTTTCTCCTCCTCCATCTCCGTTTTCTTGTCATGCATGCACCCGACACACTTTCGCGCCCGGATTTATGTTCTTCTTTATCCGTTTGCGTTTGCCCGTCGCCCCGCTGCTGCTAGCTCTGCGCCTGGTAAAACGTAGCGGCCCGGCCCTATCGCCTATCCGTCCTGGTGACTTCGCCTGTCGCTCCCTGCCTTGCTGCCCAGCTCGAGCGCCTGTCACTGCTCTGCATCGCATGTATCCGGCATGCTTTTCCAAGCCGGATTCCTCCGCTGTTTGTCACCACCCCATCGCTCTCGTCCTCAGCCTCCCGTGACCGGCAGCGCCCAGCGCCACGGTTTGCCCGACGATTCCCTCTTCTGATAGAAGACTGCGAAGGGCATCGTCCGCTAGACAGTTCTGAGTCCTCCGCCCCTACGTCCGAGTCCGGCAGCCGAATCGCACGGCAGTATCGCTGCTGAGCTTCGCTACGCTGGCCCTCCCTCGCTCCGGTCTGGTGGGGTCCTCTACCGCCTCAAGCCCCAAATGGGCAGACCCCACATAGTCGACGGCCGCAATACCAGTGGTGCCGCCTGTTGCAGACCCTTAACATGGTCCAAAGTGCAGCATGCCCCAACACAGGCCTTGGTGGAAATAGCAAGGGACAAGCAGGGACCTCGAAACCCAAAGTGGAGGAGGGTTCCAGGCGAGACTGAGCCACACAGCGGCCCTGCCCTGGTGCCGCGGCCGTCGCCCAGGCTCATATCAGCCTTTTATAGGGCCCAATACCTATGCTCACGCTCCCTTCTACTACATATTGTAGTTGACGAAGGGTTCGCCGCGACAATCCCTGCCATTCGGTTTCTTCCGCCTCGCGGGCCAATCACCCATCTGCTCGCATGCACATTGAACTCCTCGACGCTCGTCTACTATCGGTTCCGGGGTCGCACCCAAAAATAAAAGCGATAGCACAAAAACAAAAGTAAAATAAACCGCACAGCGAGAGGGGAGGAGGGAAAGGAGGACTACTACTACCGCCATGATCCCGACCAGCTACCCTACGACAGTTAGTGTTTCGCGTCCACCGTGAGGTCGCTTGTTCTTGCGGTCCTACCCTCACTCCCACCTCGCAGTCATGCCGACCCATGTCATTGTCGATGTCGTCTTTCGCACGTAGCACAAGTCATAAGCAAGTGCATCAATCAAAAAGCAACAATTTTTTTAATCCTATTAGAAAATAAAAATTTGGTCGGCGATCAACGCCGGTTTCAACAATCATCAACCAAAAAAATAAAAGATCACGCGCGCCTCAATTCTGCGCGCCCACACACTCTCTACTCTTAGTCAATCGTTCAGCCATTGTAAACCACTGACGGAGCCGCGCCTCACGCGAAATACTTCAACTTTTAACCTTATTTTCTGTCGCTTGCAAAAACCAGGGCGGATACCTTTGTAAGGGTATTCGCACCGACAACGCCCAGAAGGCACGACTGTTGGCAATTGAACAGCAATGCCAACAAGACGAGGAAGCAGCAAAGGCTGCCGATGAAGAACGACTTTAACAACGCGAAAAGATATTCAGCGGAGAGCGAGTTTTGCTCACAATGGGAGGGGACTGGCGGGCCAAGGCTGAGAATGGGAAGCTGGAAGAGAGTGGAAACAAGATCGCTCTACTCCTCTCCCATTTCACGGACCTCCTGGCCACGTGCATTGCACAGCAGGAGGACATTCACAACCTCGACGATGCGGTTCATACACACAATCAGGTGTTTGACCAACTCACCAGCCGCCTCCAGCAGCTGGAATAAGCCGTCGCCGCCCCCGTTGCCAGCTCTTCCAATACCTCCGATCGCCTCGAGGCATTGAAGATTGACGTCGGATCCTTCAAGGATGGCATGAAGTTACAACAAAATGTCGCGCAACAGTTGGAGCAGCAGGTCTTTATTGCCGCCACTCACTCGAGATCGAAACCGCGCGAGACAACTCCAAAGTTCGATGATCGGGAGATCTTCTGCGATTCGACGAAGACGGACCCGAGTTCGTGGTTCCGTAAGTTCGAACTCAAGTTGCAGCTACACTACGCCAGCGAGCACAAGCATCACATATACTTATACTCCCGCTCGGGTGGCGCGTACCAAGCATGGCTGGACAATCTCCTGTCCAAGTACGGAGTGGTACCTGTCGACTTGCATACCAAGATCAGCTGGGATGATCTAAAGGCGGCGTGGCATAAGCGGTTCCAAGTAGAGTCGTCAGAGATCAAGGCAATGGACAAGCTGATGGTCTTCGAACAGGGCACGTTGCCGAGTGTTGATTGGATTGCCGAGTACCAACGCTTGACATCCGTCCCAGACATTCAAATGGGTTTCAAAGCCATCAAACACTACATCTCGAGGTCGTGTCCGGCGTTGGGCAATGCCTTGACTCACGTCGAGGACACCCTGACGACACCGGCGGAGCTCTTCGACAAGGTCGTGCAGATTATTACCATGAACAAGGAGGCTAAGAACCTCCACCGTTCGTCTGCGACAGGCCCGAGCAGAGATCAGCATCGGCTGAAAGTGGTCATGGTCGTCGTGGTCACGCCAATCGACCAAACTAGCGAGGCCGTGCCTGCAAATGAAGGGGACAGACTCACAGCCGCCCGGGATGGTAGTCGCCCCGGCAAAGACCGAGGACGCGGCAAAACGGAGACAAACACCGCATTTAGCCCCGGGCCCGGCGCAGCAGCTCCAGCCACATGGTCCCAATACGGTCTCTCTGAGCAAGCATACAAGGCATGCACGAGATTTCGTTATTGTAACAGCGATCTCCACGAGATAATGGGCTGCCCGTCGAAAGGCAAGGGCAAATCGGAAAACTGAACACCATCGGGAGTAAGTCGACGACACTCTCAACACCTTCGAAACTGGTCACTTCGCGGGTGACCGCCCTTCGTGCCGAGGCCTATGCGGAAGTCGATAGTCCTCTTCTTTAGTCTTTTGAGGACTATGCTGCCCGGCTCGTTCCTACGTTGGGTATGCTCAAGGACAAGACGTGTATGCGGCATCTTCTCCGTCCGACAACGACAACTTATCGTCTTCAAGTGGTTCTTCACGGGATTCGGCGTGCGAGTTCAACATGGAGGTATTGGACCCACTCACGTCCAAGGATTTCGCATGGCTTCCTCTCCCAACCACGGGCCGCTTGTCGGGACCGCAATGCGCAGCATTATGCGCTCAGCTTCACACGTACTTATCCTTCTATGCACCACCAACTTCGCCGAAGGATGACGAAGTCGCGGTGGGGGACATCCTTGCATATGTTACCGAGGTGGCCCGCGAGTTTCGCAAGCAGCGGTATGATGACAACAACGCACCGCTCCTCTATGTCCGCATCCAAGTTGGGCAAGCGTCCTGTAGCGCTTTTCTGGATAGCGGCGCGTCTCGCAATTTTATGAGTTAGGTCTTTATGCAAAAGGTTGGCCTTGGCGCATAAGTTCGAAGGAAGGCAAACCCGACGACGATCAAGTTGGCGGGCGGAAGGACGCAACAACTTATCGACCGCTACATCGAGGCCGTTCCGGTGTATTTCGCACTTCATGCATGTGAAACGGTGACATTCGACATTTTGGACACGAACTTCGACATTATTTTGGGAATGTCTTGGCTTGCAAGTGCGAATCACACGGTCAACTTCCACCGGCGGACTATTACTATTCGCAGGGTCTTCGGCGCCGAAGTATCGTGTACTATTCCTCTTATGCACCCTTTGATTCGATGTCAAGTGGTAACGGCCAAGTCGTTCCGGTCTACTCGCGCTTACAAGCAGCCCGACGAGATAGGCCTATGCTTCCTACGGACCGTCGCAGTAGCCGATTCTTCACCCACGGACTTGTCATGACCCCCGTGTGGTGCGGTTGCTTGACGAGTTCACCGACATCTTCGAGTCACCTACCGGTGTGGTGCCGGATCGGCCGATCTCTCACGAGATCATTCTTGAGGCCGGTGCCGTGCCGCCGAAAGGTTGCATTTATCGCATGAGCGAGGAGGAGTTTACAGTCCTCCGCGCGCAACTAGATGACTTGTTGGACAAGGGTTGGATCCGCCTTAGTAGCTCTCCATACGGAGCGCCAGTTCTCTTCGTACGGAAGAAGAACAAGGATCTACGATTGTGCATCGACTACCGCAAGCTCAACACGCAAACCGTCAAGAATGCGGGGCATTTTCCTCCCATCGACGATCTTCTTGAGCGATTGGGCGGTGCGAAGTATTTTTCTAAGTTGGATTTGAAGTCGGGATATCATCAAATCTCGATCCGACCGAACGATCGCTACAAATCCACGTTCAAGACGTGGTATGGGCATTTTGAGTGGGTGGTCATGCATTTTGGCCTCACCAACGCCCCGACGACCTTTCAAGCGGCAATGACCAACGAGTTTCGTGCAATTTTGGACCGGTTCGTGCTGGTCTACTTAGACAATATCCTCGTCTATAGCCGGACATTGGAGGATCATCTTGGACACCTTCGACGAGTGTTGGAGATGCTCCGCCACGCCAAGTACAAGGCCAACCGCGACAAGTGCCAATTTGTCTGGCAAGAGCTGGAATACTTGGGCCATTTTGTCACACGGGAGGGCATCAGTCCGCTATCGGACAAGATTCAAGCCATCCAAGAGTGGCCGGAGCCGCAGAACGTCATGGATGTTCGTTCGTTCCTTGGCCTTGCCGGCTACTACCAACGTTTTATCAAGGGATACTCGAAGATTGCGGCCCACTTAACCAAGCTTCAATGCAAGGATCGGTCGTTTGACTTCGGAGAGGATGCACGAGAATCGTTTTTGGCTCTCAAAGCCGCGCTATTATCTTCGGAGGTCTTGCGCATATACGACCCGCTATTGCCTACTCACGTCACTACGGATGCGTCCGGCTATGGCATTGGTGTCGTCCTAGAACAACACGATGGCGTGGACTGGCACCCGGTCGAGTACTTTAGCAAGAAAGTGTCCGTCTTGCACTCCATTGATGATGCACGCAAGAAGGAGCTCCTCGCCTTCGTCCACGCGCTCAAGCAGTGGCGTCACTTCCTCCTTGGTCGACGTCAATTTTGATGGGTAACAGACAACAATCCGTTGGTCTTTTACAAGACCCAAATCACCGTCAACAACACCATCGCCCGATGGATGGCTTTCATTGACCAGTTCGACTTCTTTCCCGATCACATTCCGGGGAGGTCGAACCGTTTTCCAGATGCTCTTTCACAGCGTCTGGATCATTGTACCGCGATTTATTCAACCTTCGAGATCGACGACGACCTGCGGGACAATTTCATCCGCGGCTACCAAGCTGACCCCGAGTTTCACGAAAAGTACGCGAATTGCTCCTCTCCTAATCTGGCGCCTTCTCACTACCGGATCCAAGAGGGGTACTTGCTTGTCCACACGCGAGGGAAAAACCTTCTTTGCGTACCGAGTGACTCTCACTTGCGTACACGGCTTCTTGGCGAGTTCCACGACACTTCAGCCACCGGACACTTTGGAGTCAATCTCGCGATTGGCCGACTTCGCGAAGGATTTTGGTGGCCTGACCTTCTCGGCGACGTCACACGAGGTTTGCCGACGCTGTAAATCCCACAACCATTGTCCATACGACGAGTTGCGTCCATTACCGGTCCCCTTGCACCGAAGGGAAGCAATTGCCATGGACATTACCGGGTCGTTCCCCAAGCATAAGACCGGTGTGGATGAGATTCTCACGGTGGTCGACCGACTCACCAAGTTTGCCATGTTTTTGTCTTGCCGCTATCAGGCCAAGGCACCGGAGTTGGCCGAGGTACTTTATGCTGGTTGAATTCGAACCAAGGGTTACCCCAAGGAAATCGACTGCAACCGCGACACTCGGTTCATGTCCGATTTTTTGTTGGCGCTCATCAAACGATGGGGCTCACAGGTTCTCCTTCGCACTCTCATCCTTATACAGTCGGCACTTATACAGGTCCAAACCGTTGGCAGGTCATGCAACCTGCTACGACCGGTCAGTCACTGGTCACTCATACAGTCGCTGGGCCTTGAAGCAGTACCAGAAGGACAAGCGAGACCATCTTGCACCCAGGGTGAGTCCCTCCTACACCACTCGCCGCCTGCCCTTGATACCGAAGATGAAGAGTATCTACCATAGATCCTTGAACCACTCTCACAATTGAAACTGAACGGAAACAAAAACCAGTAGGCCATACTTCGATACAGGTTGAGAAACATGACCACTCTGATAAAATTTGCCAATCGAGGAGCTAAGAAATAAACCGGTTGGGAAAGTCCCAGACCTAGAAACTGGAACCCGTTGGGGGCACTGTCGTAGGACAGATGCCTCACCAATGGCGGTAATGTGAAAAACAACCGTCCTACTTCAGCGATACTGACTGGCGGCTAAATGGTTGACCCGTGTCACTTCAATAGTTATCGACGATTGTTTTCCTCGAGCCTCTTCCGTTGGGACTTTTGCAATCGGGACTTGGGACTTTTGCACTTGGGACCTCATTACTAGGACCATAGATCCATAACATCTACGATCCATAGTATCTACAACTGCATTTCACTTCACGGCTCGGCCCATTCTTGGTACAGAGAGTATCTACGATGTACCTACCATGTACATCAACAACAACTAGCATCAAGGATGGGATGGGAGTGTGGGGAACCAGAGGACTTACCCGGCGTGCAGAACAGCCTCGCCAGTCCTCCCGATTCCGCTCTTTGGACCTGTGATTGTATATGAGGCTGGGGACTGCCCAACCACCACAGGTTGTGATGCTTCTCGTGTTGAGCCTTTGGGAGCCCGACTTGATGAGCCCGACCAGCCATAGCGGTCATCACAAACATGCGCAGGCAGATCTCATGGAGGACCAATTGTCCTTCTAGCCTGTTTTGGCGAGCCCCCCCTCGATATTCCCTTGGTGTGGGCCTCTGGCCCATCTTCTTGACTCATTTTTGTGCCGTCTAGCATTGTCAGTGGACTCTACTTTTCCTATTTTGTCTCGATGAGACGTGTGCAGACAGAGGGCCTTGCCACTCTACTCCTGCCTTGGAGAAAATTTTCGGGAGTACTCCAGAAGGTCTGAAGACGGGAAAATCCATTCGGGAGTGCGCTTCGCCACATTGCACTCCCGACTTGGGATGCTCTCCAATTTGGAGGTCAGGAGGCGCACTTCAAGCAGATACTGTCCACCACTGTCCAGCATGTAGCGACGAAAATTGTGAGGAGAATGCTTGTCTCCGCACGAGTTATTCGACATCGAAATCCACGCGTGCGCAAGAGGTCTCCCGAAAATGGCCTTTACAGGCGTGAGGCTCAAGCGATTTCGGGAGTGCTTTCGGGAGCCACATTCTGACAGCTCCCAAATTCAATCTGACAGGTTGAACTTGGGAGCTGGTGTGGCAACGTTGCACTCCTGAAAATGGCCAAGTCGGGAGTAGTGTGGCGAGGCCCAAAAACTATGGCGGTTAGGCTTCCGATGCATTCCACGGGTCTCGCCACAACACTCTTGAACACTCATTTTCAAGAGTTTGGTTGTTGCCACAGAGCCTCTCGAAACCGAGCTGTCAAAATTCATCTTCAAGGGGGAACTCTTGAGACTCTTCGTTTCCAAGCCTGCAACCCTCAACTTTTCAAGGGTCCTTGCCCGAGCCCTTGCAGGAGTCGTGATTCTCAAGAGCTGTCAGTTGAAATGGCTTACAAAAAGATAAAATCCAGTGTTCCTTTCTTCTGCATGTGGTTGGATTGAGCAATCAGCACCTGTGCAAGTGTTCCTCTTTCAAGATTCTATGTGGCGAAGGACAAAAATTGCTCAAAAACTCACCTCTTGAAAAAGTCTGACAACTCTTGAAACATTTCACAGTTTCAAAAGTGGTGTGGCGAGGCCTTACATTGGTACATTTCTACGTTCAATTGGAAGATGCATCCTACATTTCCTATATTTTGCACATTTGGGGCCTCGCCACACCAATGTCGAAACGACAAAGTTTCGACAACTCATAACTTTTTTTTTTTTTTTTTTTTGTAAGTTGCAGATTATATTATGCAAAACTCAATGACTTGAGGCCGGGGTCCTCACAATTCTACCCGGAGAAAGCAAGAAAGAAAGTACTGGGAGCCTTACCCAACTTAGTTTTTTACGGGACCTTGATGGACCCGACGCACTCTAGTTGCCTACCAGTACCAAACATTACCTTGAAAGAAATGTCATAAGGTATCCCCATCGAAGAAGCAAAAAGAAACAAATAATAAGAAGTAACAATGAAAGTAACGCACTATGTTTTAAAGAGAAACAAAATTCTTATCCTCTAACATCACTCTTATTTTTCGTATACCCATTTAAATTAATGTGGCCTAAATCGGCCCGACAATGTTTCCAGAAGCGAGGGAGGACATCAGATATACTGTAGGAGCCAATCGGTAAATACTAGTTCCCCTGTAGAAATGGACACAAACTTGGCATCGTTTCCCCATGTTTGCCTGAACGAAAATCGGTTCTTGTGTGTCTATCTGCCCCGGGGGTGCTAGTCCGATCTAATCGTCTGTCTGATTGCCAGTTTTGCAGCACCCATCAGTTCCTGAATTGAGGTAGACTCTTGTTTAAAGGTTGCCCTATTGCGGACCTTCCATAGTATTTCCATTATGGCACCTCTACAGGCAAGAGCCCCTTTCCAGTTCTCCTTTCACCACTCTCAAATCCTGAATGAGAGCGGGCGTAGGAGTCACACACGATTTGCCGATTCCCAACCCCAACCGCAACAAGCACAGTGTTCTTCTGTTTCCATCAATTTTGAAGTCAACCAAAGTGTTGTCGGTGTTACCAATAAAATCTGTAGCCACGCTAGGCTGACCTGTTCCTGTGAAACCATAAGTTTAAGTCAATGCCATAACCCAAAAAGGTCCAGGTTTCCCAAAGAGAAACCAGGTTCCTTCGCTAATCGTTCTGTGGTCATGACAAAAGGTTGCTTTTTAACTCCTGTCCTTAAAATTTGTACCCCCACCTTGGTCTTGTATGCAGAGACCGGGTTTAGAGTGTTTGGTTTCGTAATTCATTTTCACTCATATAATAAAGGTTCGACCTGCAAGTTATCTGCATTTTCAAATACTACTGAGGCTAATTCCTTATCTCCAGTTGTACTAACCTAGACTCTGCATTTTGATAAACCCACCGTAGTGGGAATGTTTTTCT